CTCTGCAATCGGCCGAGCCTGTTTGATCAGATCTGCCACGAACCAGAAAGAAGAGGGTGGTGAGCAAGAGAGAGAGAATGTTCCATCATGGCCTGCTCTCTGGAACAGATGAAGGGAAGGAGGGAGGGCTGGGGAATAAAGAACGAACGACTCCCCATCTTTGTGCTCTCTGCAGGAGAGCCATGGAGAGAGAACATGTGCCCCAGGGCCTGAATTCCTGGGCCTGTCCACTGCAGCATCAATCCCCCTGCATTCGTACTAGCTGGGTACAGAGCTATAGCAGTGGCGTAGGTAGAAATGCATTTTTGGGGAGGCCTGTGAAAAGGTGGGTTGGACAACTTGGTAGATACAACTTGCAATGTCCCACAATGTCATGACATCAGGCTATAGCCTACAGCTGACACCAGTGCAGTCATCAGCCCACCCATTCCAACACTCTCACCCCCACAGTGATACAAAACAATAGTAATCAGCTGAAATTGCCCAACACAGACAACACTAAGTTCAAATCAGACAGTTGAGATGTTATGATGATGAGGAAAAACAATGCATAACTTAACCCTCTGGGGTCCATGAATGCTCCCATGCATCACATTCGATGTTTCTATATCTGTTTTCTTTGTGATGATCCAGCTCGGAAATCCAGTTCAAACACTTCCTGAATCTGTAGAGTCGCCCTTTCCATTCCATCTTATCACGAGATCATACGAGACTCACATCCGGAGTTATGAGCCTATGAAGAGGGGCTGAGATACGTCATCTGCCTCTCACCGTGTGGAACTGGTGGATTGGTGTGTCCATCTACATTCTGTGTGAAACTGACCACTGACACTCAGGAAATCACTAAGGACTGACCATCACGCCAGAAACCCTTCATTCTTCATTCAGTCCACATCGGAGACTCATGTGAAATGGCGTGCAGAGAGTTTACAGCTGCTGAAGCTGCTGCAGCGGGTTTGGAAAGTAGTGATGAAGATAACGGAGCATTTAGATATGAAACATATGAGGATCATGATATATGAAGAGCCTTTAGAGGAGAGTTTAAGAAGAGATGAACAAACTGACCTCAGACCACAGAGGGTTAAACACATAAACCTAATCATGGCTAAAGCATACTGACATGGCAGACATTAAAAATGTGCAAGGAACATTTATATCTTACCTTTGATGGCTCTTTGCATTGAAGCAGACGTTTAGCTTTTGTGGTAAAAGCGAAAACTTTTTTTTGATTATTTTTTGGCTTTGGAAATGGGTAGAAAACATGTTTGCTCTATTGGAAGAAGCGGTTTTACTTTTACATCACAGCTGCAGCTTCAAATTCAAACACTGGCACACTAACGAAGAACTGAAGGATTAAGGCAATGGTGGATAGCAACAGTTGCTAAGCAGTGATTGGAGGCCAAATAAAATAAGCTTGGTGATGATGGTTAATAATATAATATGATAATATAATAATATAATATAACTATAAACTTTCAATTCTTTTTATTTTTTATTTATTTTTTATTTATATTGCATAAATCATTTCATCATTTCATACATTAAAATGTGGCTCAAAATGCAAAAATTACAAATGAAATAAATAAATAAAATAAATAAAAGTAATATTAGGAATAAATGCCATGCATGACATACCTACAAAAAAGGAGTATAACAACCACAGGAAAAAAGAAAATAATCAAATGTAATGAAAATAAATAACATTAATTAAAACTAGATTACATGATTGCTCATAAAATGATACAGTAAGAATAAAACTAGATTTGATTGACTGTGTCACAGTGCACTCACAGAAACCAAATCAATTATCATTATCTTAAAAAAAAAATCTGTTTAATAAATATTCTTTCCTCCTTTAAATGGCAGCCTGTGATCAATCTGAGTAGGACTAGACCCACTCAGGCCCACCCACGGCTATGCTTTAGGGCTTTAGGTCCCCCTAATAAGAGGAAATCTCTTCAGAACAGTTCAGGGCTGCTGCATAACGCTGGGAGAAGGTCTGCTATTTCAGCCTCGCTCTGCCGAGACGTGATGGCAGCGTCTTTCTTTAATGCATCAAAGCTTCGTCACCTTCATCTCAGCGCAGGAGGCCTGAATTATGGAGCACTACAGCATCAGGGCGACTGTGCTGGGCTCGCGTGACGCCACCGTCGTCTGCAGCGCTGTGGACAAACAGAGCAGCCCTGTGTGCTGACACTTCCTCACACGCTCCTGATATGCCTTAGCACGACCACACACAGACCCTGGCTCTCTCTCCCTCTCTCTCTCTGTCTCACTCTCTCTCGCTCTGAAGGAAAGGACACAGGGTTTATTCCCATGGAAACCAAGTCTCCTTGTCGCACAGGGCCATGCTGAGCGCAGGATGAGAGATGTCGCCTCTCGTGATTAAAAACAAACCTGTAGGTTGCGCCTCGCTCGGGCCCATTCGAGAGGAAGGATATCTCGACAGGGTCATCGCTGTTCTTCAGATTCCGATGGTTTTATACCAACAATCAGCAGCCGTCAATCCGGCTGGCCGTTCACCTGGGAAAACTTACAATGGCTGGAAAATCCCTCATTCCCTTTCGCCCTGAGGTGAAGCGCGTTTAATGACGCCGCGATAAATAGCTCATCTTCCCTGAGATACTCAGAGTTTTTACCTGGAGAGGATGAATCCGTGCAGATGAGCGAATGGAGGACCCACTCTTCGGGATTAGAGGCCTACTCAGACTCAGACACTCAAAAGATCAAAATGATCTGCTTCATATTAAAGGAAATCAAACGTACGCTATTTTCCACCTACAGCAGACAATTTCTGCTTCTTTAGCCTCCCTCTGCAGTGCCCCCTAGTGGTCATTCTGTTGGCGGAATGAAAATCGGCTCAAATATTCTTAATAAATATTATCAAATAAAATATTTTTCCCCTGTGAATCTGTTATCAGATGCATTAGGATGCTGTTGGCTCTCTGTGTGACACAATGAGCTGCTAGGGAGCAATGAGGGATGAAAGGGGAGAGGTGAGACCCCCTGCTGTGAAAACAACCCCTGCTTTAATGAAAGACATTTCTTTATGTCAAACAATTCTGTACAAATGCTATGATAAAAAAGCATGTAAATACATTAAAAACACTTTTGACCTGCTTGCGGACCTACAAAGATGAAAATCTAGTGGCTTCCAGTTTTACAAATCACACATATTTCTATTCAAATATATTCCATCAACATTATTTAAGAAAAGAAAACGACGGACCTCCAACTGAAAGCGGAAGTTGTTTTGTATGCCTAGTGTGACAAGGGAATAGTTCCGTGCTGGAGCTACGATGCTAACATACACTGTAAGTCAATAGTCACCCAAATAATTTCTGTAAATACCTCCGCCAAAACTACCCACTCCAGCCGCAGGCTGTTTAGGACACAGTACGACTGACTGTGAGCTATGGAAATGAACAAAACTCCAGCCGATCGCAGATAGCAGCCGCTTTAGATGACGGGTGTAGTGCCGAATTCTCGCTCCCCACAGAATCTGACTCCCCTTTAAGATTGATGAAGATTGTATTTATAAGCACATATCATCAGTTCAGAAATTTAAGATTAACAGTCGATTAAATTTAAAACAACAGAAGTTGTGAATGTAATCTGTGACGTCCATATGCCTGCACATTCACACACACAAAGGGGGTCGGATAAAGTGTTCAGCTACACAGTGAAGTTCAGTTCTACCAGATAGACTCAAGAGACTAATATGAAGTAGGAAAAATAGTTTAATCTCAAAAATATTTAACAATTCGATAGATAGATACTGCTGTATCTGATCCACTCAGACCAGCGCAACACACACTAACACACCACCACCACGTCAGTGTTACTGCAGTGCTGAGAATGACCCACCACCCAAATAGTACCTGCTCTGTGAGGGTCCATGGGGTCCTGACCACTGAAGAACAGGGTAAAAGGGGGCTAACAAAGTATCAGAGAAACAGATGGACTACAGTCTGTAACTGTAGAGCTACAAAGTGCACCTATATAGTAAGTGGAGCTGATAAAATGGACAATGAGTGTAGAAACAAGGAGGTGGTCAGAACGTTATGCCTGATTGGTGTATATGTTGAGATATATATATATATACACACACATCCCACCACGGGGCCCTAAGATTGGGGCCGGCATGTGCCCCCAAGTTTCACGACTGACAGGGGCTCCACTACAAGTGGTGGGCCCACATGGGTGTGTTTGCGGGGGACGGCCTAAAATAGGGAAAACTGACTGAAGCCACAGAACCAAACCAGAATTCATTGTTTTTGTGATGTCATGAAAATGAACACATTCACTTATATCTGGCTATAGTAGTTTAGCCCCTCCCACTCATGCTTAAGTTATAAGGTACATTTCAGCCCGGACTGCTTTGCACAGCCAATCAGAACAGAGCTCATTTACATATATATGAGTCTTAAAGGCACAGTAACAAAAGGGAATGATTCTATTTAGAACTGTAAGTTCTATATAGAACCATTTGCATGCTTAAATAGCTCTTTGCATGGTGAAATGGTTCTTCAGATTGATGGAAAATGTGTTCCACAAGGTTTTGAAAGTGGTTCTATATAGCAGCAAAAAGGGTTCTGCTGTTGTTATGAGACCAGACAGTAGCAGAACCCTTTTTGGTGCTATACAGAACCATATCCAACACTTCTCCATCAGTCTGAAGAACCATTTCAGCATGCAAAGAACCATTTAAGCATGCAAATGGTTCTAAATGGAATGTTTTTAAGAGCGTAGTTTAAAATGTAAGGCAAATGTAGGATATGGGCCCTTTAAAGCTGTCGCTGAAGTGCGCTCGCGTCACCACGCGAGGGCGCAGCGCTGCGCCCCCCTCTCTCTCTCTCTCTCTCTCTCTCTCTCTCTCTCTCTCTCTCTCTCTCTCTCTCTCTCACTGTAAAAGCCCCTACTCGCGGGCACACGCACGGCACCCCGTTCTCTCTCTCTTTCTCGCGCGCGCCGCTCCGGGGGGCTCTGTGTACCGGATCATGGTGTCCGGCGTGTGCGCCCGTAAGTCCGCGGCTCGCCGCTCGCGCTCCGCTCTCATCGTCGCGCTGACGGTTCTGCTGCTGCAGACGCTCGTGGTGTGGAACTTCAGCAGTCTGGACTCGGGAGACGGCGCGGGCGAGGACGGAGGAGCAGCCGCCGCCGGAGGAGGAGGAGGCGCTGGAGGAGGCAGGGAGAAGAGGGACCGGCTGGCCGCTGTCGAGTACCCGAGGAGCGGCGTCCACAGGCGGCAGCAGCCACCGCCACCCCCGCCGGGCAGAGCGGCTCTCCGACACAGACAGCAGCCGGTAAGCAGACACGGAGAGCGGGCTGCGCACACACAGCGGGCCGATCGTCCGCGGTAGCGGGCCTGCGTGGCCGCTGAGGGATGCCTGCGCGCTGCGGGCTGGAGCTAATGCTCCGCTTTAGCCGCGTTTCGGCGAGGCTGCTTTTGTTGCGTTGAGCTTTTATTCGTGTGAGGAAAGATCTCTGATCTCCGCACAGCTGTGCGGCTCCCTCCCCCACAGAAGCGCTCCCAGCATCAGCGCTCAGACTCGGGTTTACCTTGAACGCGCTGAAAGCTTGTGTTTTTAGACAAATGTCCATGTGTTCGGCTCTCAGAGCTGTGAGATGGTCAGATACCTCCTTCACCCTCTCCAGCTGGAGTGGACCGCTGGTAATAACTACTCACATCAGACCTGCTGCTGTGAATTCTTCCACATCATCAACTAGCAGACACATTATTTTACCTTAAACGCTCAGAAAGCTTGTTTTTGGTGTGAAATGTCCATGTGCTCAGATCTCAGAGCCACTAAATGGTCAGAAATCTTCATTTTCTGGACTACTGGTAATAACTACTCACATCTGTGAGAATTCCTCTCAGACCTGCTGTAGTGCTGCTCTGAATTCTCCCCACATTAACGCTCCACATCATCAACTAGCAGATGCATTATTTTACCTTCAGTGCTCAGAAAGCTTGTTTTGAAATATGCAGTGTGATGGTCATTCACCTTTTTACATTGAAGTAGACTAGGGTCAGTGACTGCTCACATCAGACCTGCTGCTTTTGGTGTCCCTCCACATTGATGCTCCACATCACCAATAAACAGACACGTTATTTTACCTTAAATGCTCAGAAAGCTTGTTGTTTTTGTAGTGAAATGACCATGTGCTCCGCTCTTAAAGCCAGTAAATGGTCAGAAATCTTGTTTACCTTCTCCTAGTGGAGTGGACTACTGGTAATAGCTGGTCAAATCAGACCTGCTGCTTTGAAATCTCCTACTTTTCTGTCTCCCTCAACATGTACGGTCCACATCATCAACTGGCAGACACGTTATTTGCCTTAAAGGCTTGTTTCTCAGTGAAACGACCATGTGCTGAGCTCTCAGAGCAGTGAGATGGTCAGTCACCTTTTACTATTGGAGTGGACGTCTGTTAATAACTGCTCACATCAGCTGCTTTGAGTTCACATTTCTGTGTCTCTCCACATCAATGGTCCTCATCATTGACTAGCAGACACATTATTTTGCCTTAAATGCGTAGAAAGCTTGTTGTTTTTAGTGAAATGTCCATGTGCTCGGCTCTCGGAGCCGTGAGATGGTCAGATATCTCCTTCACCTTTTCTGCTGGAGTGGGCTACTTATAGCTACTTATAGTTACTTAATATTTACGTGTGGTAATTCCTCTCAGACCTGCTGTAGTGCGGCTCTGAATTCTCCCCACATCAATGCTCCACATCATCAACTAGCAGACACGTTATTTTCCCTTCAATGCCCAGAAAGCTTGTTTTTGTACTGAAATGTCCATGCAGTGTGATGGTCATTCACCTTTTTACATTGAAGTGGGCTGCTGTGAATGACTGCTCACATCAGACCTGCTGCTTTTGGTGTCCCTCCACACTGATGCTCCACATCACCAATGAACAGACACGTTATTTTACCTTAAATGCTCAGAAAGCTTGTTGTTTTAGTGAAATGACCATGTGCTCAGATTTTAGAGCCATAAAATGGTCAGATATCTGGTTTACCTTCTCCTAGTGGAGTGGACTACTGTTAATAACTACTCACAACAGACCAGCTGCTTTGAACTCTTCCTAATTTCTGTCTCTCTCTGCATTAATGCTCCACATCATCAACTGGTAGACATATTATTTTGCCTTAAAGGCTTGTTTTTTAGTGAAATGACCATGTACTCGGCTCTCGGAGCCGTGAGATGGTCAGATATTTCCTATTTAATTGGCTACTGTTAATAACTACTCAAATTTGTGATCATTCCTTTCAGACCTGCTGTAGTGCTGCTCTGAATTCTCCCACATTGATGCTCCACATCATCAGCTAGCAGACACGTTATTTTCCCTTAAATGCCTTAAACAACAAGTTGTTGTTTATCGTGAAATGACCATGTGCTCCGCTCTTCGAGCTGTGAGATGGTCATTCGCCTTGGTCCATTGAAGTGGACCACTCTTGCTAACTACTCACATCAGACCAGCTGGTTTAAATTCTTCTACTTTTTTGTCTTCCTGTGCATCAGTGCTCCACATCGTCAACTTGCAGGCACGTTATTTTGCCTTGAAGGCTTGTTTTTGTAGTGAAATGTCCATGTGCTCAAATCTCAGAGCCGTGAGATGGTCAGAAATGTCCTTCGCCTTTTAAAACGGAGTGAACGACTGTTAATAACTACTCAAATCAGACTTGCTGCTTTGAATTCTTCTGATTTTCTCCCTCCACATATATGGTCCACATTATTTTGCCATACAGGCTAGTTTCTAAGTGAAATGTCCATGTGCTCGGCTCCCAGAGCTGCGAGATGGTCAGAAATCTCCTTCACCTTCTCCAACTGGAGTGGACTACTGTTAATAACTACTCAAATTTGTGATAATTCCTTTCAGAACTACTGTAGTGCGCTGCTTTAAATCCTTCTACATTTCTGTATTGAATACTTTGGCACATTATTAGTCCACATCATCATCTAGCAGACACATTATTGTGCCTTAAACGCTCGGAAAGCTTGTATTTTTAGCGAAATGTCCGTGTGCTCGGCTCTCGGAGCCATGAAATGGTCAGATATCTCATTCACCTTTTTCCATTGAACTCAACTGAGACCCAATTCATCTACATTTCTGTCTCTCTCCATATTTACAGTCCACATCAACTAGCAGACACATTCTGCCTGTAAGGCTTACAGAAAGCTTGTTTAGTTTCCAAATGTCCACATGCTCAATTCTCAGAGCCATGAAATGGTCACATATGTCCTTCACCTCTTTCCGTTTGAGTGGACTAATGTCAATAACAGCTAGCAACCTGTTTTTTAGGGAGAGCTGTTAGCTAAATAGCTATTTTCAGAGCCATTAAATGGTCAGATATCTCGTTCACCTTTTCAGCCGGTGTGGTCTGCGGTCAATAACTACTCGAATTAGTGCGGATTTCTCTCAGACCTGCTGCTCTGAGTTCTTTTTCATGTCTGTGCTGGACGCTTTAACCGTCTCCCTCCCACATTAATGCTCCACAACATCAACTAGCAGGACAGCAGGACATTGTTTGCTTTAAATGCTTAAAGCAGGCTGTTTTTTACTGAAATGTCCATGTGGTCAGCGCTTAGAGCCACGACATGGTCAGATATCTCCTTCACCTTCTCCAGCTGGAGTGGACCACTGTTAATGACTCCTCAAATTTGTGAGAATCCCTTTCAGACCTGCTGTGCACTTTGAATATTGTACATTTCTGACTCCCTCCGCACATTTTTAGTCCACATCATCGACTAGCAGACACATTATTTGCTTTAAAGACTTGTTGTTTTTAATGAAATGTCCATGTGCTCAGCTCTCGGAGCCACAAAGTGGTCAGATATCTCCTTCACCTTTTCCCGTTGAAGTTGATTACTGTAAATAACTACTCAAATCAGACCCAATTCTTCTAAATGTATGTCTTCCTCCATATTAATGGTCAACAGACACATTATTTTACCTTAAATGCTCAGAGAGGTTGTTTTTTAGAGAAATGTCCATGTGCGCAGCTCTCGGGGCTGTTAAATGGTCAGATATCTCCTTCACCTTCTCAACAGGAGTGGACTACTGTTAATGACTACTCTTCCCAAATTTGTGAGAATTTCTGTTCTAATTTTTGCTTCTTAAATTCTGAAAACAGTCTCCGTCCACATTAACGCTCCACATCAACAACTAGGAGACGTTTTATTTGCCTTACATTCTCAGAAAGCGTGTTTTTTAGGGAAATATCCCTGTGCTGAGCTCTCAGAGCCATTAAATGGTCAGATATCTTCACCTTTTGAACTAGTGTGGACTACTGTCAATAACTGTTCACAGATTTGTGAGAAATGTAGAAATTCTTCTACATTTCTTTATTAAATGCTTTGACAGTCTCTCTCCCCACATGCTCCACATCGTCAACTGGACAACACACCATTTTGCCAGTGCCCTGATAGCTTGTTTCCGTGGTGAAATGTCCATGTGCTCAGCTCTCAGCACTGTTACACGGTCAGAAATCTCCTTCACCTTTTTCAGCCAGAGTGGACCACTGTTAATAACAACTGTTCCCAAATTTGTGAGAACTTCTGCAGTATTTTTTGCTTGCTTGAAATATGAGAACAGTCTTGTTCCACATTAATGATCCACATCATCAAGTCGCAGACACATTATTTTGCCTTAAATGCTCAGAAAGCTTGTGCTCAGCTATTTGAGCCCTGAAATGGTCGAAAATCTCCTTCGCTTTTCCACTGGCTGCTGTTGTAACTCAAATTTGTGAGAATTTCTTAGTGTGCTTACTTGAAGTCTTCTGCTTCTCTGTACTGGAAGCTTTAACAGTCTCTCTCCTCTTATTAATGGTCTAAATCAACTAGCAAGACATTGTTTGCTTTAAGTGCTCAAAGCAGGCTGTTTTTGCAGTGAAATGTCTGTGGTCAGATATCTCCTCCACCTTTTCCAGCTGGAGTGGACTACTGTTAATAACACCTGCTCGCCAATTGCTTGCTTAAATTCTGAAAACAGGCTCCGTCCACATTAATGCTCCACATCATCAACTAGCAGACACACTATTTTGCCTTAAATGCTCAGAAGGCTTTTTTTAGTCACATGTCTAGATATTTAACTCACCTTCTGAACTGGTGTGGACTGCTGTTAATAACTGTTCCCAAATTTGTGAGAACCTCTCTCTGACCTGCTGTCCACTGCTCTGAATTCTTCTATATTTCTGTATTGAGTGCTTTAACAGTCTCCCTCCCTCATTAATGGTCCCAGACATCATTTTGTCTTAAATGCTCAGAAAGCTTGTTTTTGAAATGGTCAGATGTCGTTCTC